TTCAAGTAATATCTATAATTATTGATCGATGTCAATTGATATCGATATCGATGATATCGATCACAAAAGCTTGCATATGGTCAGGGAGATGTACTTTCAATATCCCACATGGTATTCTCAATCATTGAAGCCTAATAAAAGACTTTCTCTCTCCACTGCTCGAGATGATCTGCAGCAATAGATATAGTAGTATATATAATTATATATCTTATACAAATTATACCTCTATTTATACTACGCTTTACGCTGCTATTAAAACGCACTTGTTTAAAAGAAAATGAAAGGAAAATAATAGAAAATGACAATCAGAAGAGAAGCTTCAACAAGACGCATCCGCATTCGCATTCGCATTCAGCAAGCCTCAAATGACAGTCAATGACAATGACAATGACAATGACAAGATGTGTGCCTCAACAACAACGAAACAAAACAAAATACATGCACACAAAAAAAAAACAAAAAAAAATGAAATAAAAATCTGAGAAAATAGTGGCAAGTGGCAAGGACACGCATTTAGTGACAAGCAGAACGCACAAATGCGACGACTAAGAAAAGGAACAGGAAAAGAGAAATACATTCGTAATAGAAAACGCTTGAGCAGTGAGATGAACATCTACATCTACTGGCACGTGTCTCAGGCTCAGGCCCAGGCCCAGGCCCAGACTCGGGCTCAGCTGCTTGGCTGTTCAGCTCGACAGATGCTCAGCTGCTGCGCTTCTTTCACATGTCCTCTCGCACAATAGACCATTGAATTGGGTCAATAAACCAACAGTCACAATTACGTTGTCCTTTAAAATATTGACTTGAGTTGAGTTGAGTTGGGTTTGGGGCTGAGTTGGTTGCCATCGATAATTCAGTTCCAGTTCCAGCTTGAACAAAAGAAAATGTCATTTGCAACGTCATTTGCTCCATTTAGAATATATACACTCTTGAAGCAGAGATTTGTCTTGTAGAAAATTGAATTCAGCTTGCACATTAAAAACAAATACCAAGCATGAGTAAAGGATTTACTGTAGAGTCGTAAAACTGAACCGATTCACACTTGCCGAAGATTTAAACTGCTTTGAGTACTCCACCTATATAACTGAGATTACTTAAAGCTTCTTCTGGTCTGTCTGAACGCAGAGATCCCGTAAACTACAAATGCTAGGGACTATATTTTTACATGTACATATTCATGTGTGTACCACGATTTTATCGCATCTTTTCGATAAGTCATCCCAAGACCTTATTATCGATAACAATCGATGATTTGACTTCGTTCTTTAAGTGTAACTCGAATACTTCTGGAGCTGAAGATTCCAAATACATAGTGTAGCAATACACAAACATTGTATAGATTAGATTTTTGATACCACGCCCCCTTCGCTATATTATGCCCTGTACTAGAGAATTCCTGAATCCACAATCAATGGACGATGACAGGTTCATGTTTCCAGTCACTTATGATAGACTCTCAGAGGCTTGAGTTCAACTAGTATCTAAATATATATAAACCGAACAATTCGCATAGAGTATACCGTAAAAATATCTATAATATATTGATAAAACTATTGCAATGAGTGCTTCGTGCAGGCAAGGCGACGATGGCAGCGTGGGTCCAGTTGGGCCCGTTGGCCCAGTGGGTCCAGTCGCACCAGTGCCCGACTCCCGCATGCACGAGGCCATTTCACACACCTGCCTCAGCTCCTCGGCGGAATACGAACTGGCGCTGATACTGAAGGAACTGCGCTGGATAACCGATCAGGTGCGTAAAATACGAATAAAACATGGCATATTTCAGGTGAATCCATTTATTTCTATTTCATCGAGCAGCTGAAGAAAGAGGACGAAACAGGCGATATAACGCGCGATTGGAAATTTGCCGCAATGGTCGTAGATCGTTTGTGCCTTATTATTTTCACGCTCTTCACAATTATAGCCACGCTGGCTGTGCTCTTCTCGGCGCCACATTTCATTGTAAGTGAACGAGGCGAATGCCTCCACTACCTCTAGAGATCATCACAATTTCTGTGCCTCTTTCAGTTCCCATAAATGATTCACTCTGACGGTCTACGTAATTGCTTCAGTTTGACACGAGTCGTACAAAATATTGTTTCTACTTTTGTAAAATACTCAAAATACTCATAATACTTAACAAACATAAGAAGAAAACTGCATAAACCGAAAAGAAATTCAATTCATGTAAAGAATACATAAACAAGTGAATGCTTTTCAAGTTCTTTTCAATTTCGATTCTTGTATAAATTATAATTCATTTCTTGGAATACTCAAATTTTTATCATATTTATAGTCAAATACGAATTGAATTGTACGACGCGTTTGGTATTGACTTAATTTCATCCTCCCCCTGCCCCTGCCCCTGCCCTCTGACACCCTGCTTCATCTCCACACTGCTGCTGACTTCATCATTTTTTGCATTTGTCCATTTTGGTTTTCCTATCGAATTACTGTAAAATAATTCATTTCATTTCTAGTATGGGATAAGTTCTCTTTGATTTTCATTTTTAGTATGTAAAATAGTGTATACAAATATGTTGCTGTGATAGAAAAACGTATGAACAAAACGTAAACCAGTCACAATAAAATTTCAAATTCAAAGTGAACAAAAACGAAAACCAAAAAAAAAAAAAATTAAATAAAATAAACAAAAACGAAATCATTGACAAATTAATAAAATGAAAGGCACATGAGAGTCGGGCGTTATCGACTGCAGAATGCTCGTTCACTGGATTTTAGGAAGCTCAGCAATTCTGGCAGGCCATGTGAGTAGAGAGACGGCTGTCAATCTGACTGTCAATTTGACTGTCAATCTGACTGTCAATTTGACTGTCAATCTGACTGTCAATCTAACTGTCAACTAGACTGCAAATCTTACTATCAATCTGACTGTCACTGAATGTCAATATGACTGTCAATTCGACTGTCAATCTCACTGTCAATCTGACTGTCAATCAAACTGTCAAGTCGACTGTCAATCTGACTGTCGTCTAACCATCAATCTGAGTGTCCGTCTGATTATTAATCTCACTGTCAATCAGGCTGGCAATCTGACTGTCAATCTGACTGTCATCTGACTGTCAATCTAACTGTCAACTAAACTGCAAATCTGACTATCAATCTGACTGTCACTGAATGTCAATCTGACTGTCAATCTGACTGTCAATCTGACTTTCAATCTGACTGTCAATCTGACTGTCAATCTGACTGTCAATCTGACTGCCAATCTCACTGTCAATCTGACTGTTGATCTAGATGTTACTCTGTCAATCTTTCAATCTAACTGTTAATCTGACTCTCAATCTAGCTGTTAGCCTGATTGTCAATCTGACTGTAAATCTGTCTCTCAATCTGACTTTCAATCTGTTAACCTGACTGTTAATCTGACTTTCTGTCTTTCTGAAGGTCTGCTTATATATCTATATATCCGTCTATCTGCTGGTACTGCGGTATATTCTAAACACTTTAAGACTCTATCTTTAACATGCCCAAACCTATTGTTTCTGTCATTTATAGTCCTATAGTCTCTATAGCTCTTATAATCTGTAATCTATAGTCCTATAGTCATTTTATCCCCATAGCTCTAACAGTCCAGATTCTTATCTGACCTATAGTCCTTTTGTCTCTATAGTCTATAGTATATAGGCTAAAGTTTATAGTCTATCGTCTATAGTCTTCAGGCTCTATAGTCGACAGTCTATTGTCTATAGTCTACAATCTACAATCTCTATAGTCTACAGTCTACAGTCTCTTGTCCATGGTCACATGGTCTATATAGCCTATAGTCCTATAATTTCTCTAGTTTGTAAAATCTCCAGAGTCTCTAGACTAAACACCATTTGAACGAGCATCCCCAAGGCACACACACACACACACAGGACACGTTTCATTTACGTTCTGCTTTCGATTGATTTGATTTTGGAACAGAATTCACAGATTTGAATTCGAACCTTTGGCTTATTAGCACTGCGAATTGGCGCTTAGATACAAAAATAAAAAGAACAAAGAGAAAACCCAAACTAAAGCAATTTGTTTATGTATATCTATCTATCTATCGAAGGACACGTGTTTAGTGTTAGTTTCTTCTGCTAGATAACTTGTTCTGTTCTCTACATTTTTGCCAAAAGATTTTCAGCAATTTTGAGCACTCCAAACAAAAATTTGTTAAAAATACTAAATAAAAGAAAAATCAACAAGTCGAAGAAAAACAATTTGAATGCAAATTCGATTTCGAAATTGTTTAACTGAAATACAACAAACAAAAGAACGAATGAAAAAAAACAAAAAACAAAACAAAACATGGCCAAAACCAAAACAATAATAAAACGAAAAAGACGCAAAGCTAAACTGAAAACCAGCTAAGAGAAATGGAAATTGTGCAGCACAGCATAAACGTTGAGGAAAAGAGTCGAAGGCAAAGTATAAAGTTAACTATTTTTAAATATTATATATATATACATATATACGAGTAAAGTTAAAAAACAAAGGCAAAAAAAAACAAAAAAAAAAAAAACAAAGCATAAGCATGTAGCATATTGATGCAAAATGAACATTAGATAAAAGAAATGCTTCGAAAAAAGTTAAAAAAAAAAAAAAAACAAAAACAAAACAAAAACAAGTTAAAAGGCATAAGTAATATTAAAATAAACTACAGTATTTAGATTAAGTAATAGTTAAAGCATAGATCAAGCGAGGTTAGTCAAATATACATATGACAAATACTTAAGTTATAAACTAATATATTAATAAACAAAAAAGGAAATGAATTTTTAAACGAAATTTCAACAAAGAACAGCAAAAAGTTAACAGCAAATTCGTGCGTAGCGTAAAAAAAAATCAATTCAATTACAGATATACCCTACATACAAAGAAATTAATACTAAAAAAATAATATATATACTAACACACACACACACATACACAATCACACGTTTATATGTATTTTATTTTGCATAAAGCTTACAGAACGAGCCAAAACAAAAAGAAAATTATAATAATAAAATGCATAAATCCTCGAGCAGGAATACCCCTCATGCAGAAACCTATACCAATTACGCTGTAAACGAATTCTAATTTCTTGTGTCACATTGACATGCTTCTTATATAACAAATATTATACAATTAGTATATATGCGATTAGTATATATATTAGCATTAGATCAGGGCATTATCATACACTTAGCGAATCAAAACAAAATACAATAAATATATATATATATATATACACATCAATTTTTTTGTTAGCCTCGTAAGATTTTATAGTGTATGCAACTTACACACACAAACACACACACACACACACACACACATACACAGCTGCTAAGGGCTATGCACAAATGCAAAGGTCTTCCTTAATCTTAAAAAAAAAATACCAATAATAAAACACACACACATATATATATTATTAAATCAAACTTACTTACCTAAATCTAAAAACACAAGAAAAAGCTAAAACAAAAACAATTTAAAAAAAATAATAATTAAAAACAAATTTGCATGAATATTTAACTAACTATTTGAGCTCAACTGTTTTTAACTTAAAGCAAGCAAGACATAAATATATATATATATATACATACAAATATATATACACACACACATATATGTTTACATAACTGTTAGCCGTCTGTTAAGCAAACACTGCAGAGCTTTTAGCGTCGTCTAGCGACTGCACATAAAGCTCTGCCCCCTCAACTACAGCTATAAAACTTGTCACAGTTGGCCGCAAAAAAAAGCTCAACAGCCATAAAACTGTGCTTTTGGTCTAAAGCTTGCGCTTGCTCCAATCAGAAAAGAGGTCGAAAAGTGAGCTTTCGCTATTGTAACGGTAAACGAAAAGAGAGCGAAAGTGTTGCAAAAAGCTTTTCGAACTTTTAATTATGCCTTTTATGATTTAACATTTATTATATTTTATTATATATTTTGTGTTTGTTTTTCTATTTCATATAAAATTTATATATTTTTATTTTAACATTAATTTAAATTTATTCGTTAATTAATTATTTTCTTAACTAGTTTTAGTTTAACATTTATTCTATTTCCCTTACATAAATAATTTTACTATTTTTAGTTCTTTTTTTAACAATTGGTAATCTTATTTTCGACCTCTACAAATGGACTTTTCGCAAGTTTTCCTTGGACCCCGCTAGACGGCTAACAACATCTGAACTAATTCTCTACTTATAAATACTCGTTAAACCAAACATTTAAAATGCTTAAAATACGCACCTAAACTAAACCCAAAATTTAAATAAAAACTTAAACTAAAAACATACACAAATAAAAATTAAATTAAAAACAAAAAACAACTTAAACTTAAACTACATTTTGCTTAAATACTAAAGCCAAATTAATGCCAAATTGCATTCAGGCTGCTGCGAATTTACTACCAAAAGCAATTAAGGTAAATAAATTAAAAATTAAAATTTTTTAAATTAAAAAAAAAAAAGAGAAAATCTGAAGCCAAACAGAATCAATAAAAAGAAGCAGAACAACAACAACAACAGCAAATAAAGGGTAATTTTTCCTCGTAGTATTTTTGTTGTACGATTTTTTTCGATTCGAAACCTAATTGAGATAAGTTGTTTAAATTTTTATATAAAATATAACAAAAAACAAACAAAAGAGAAGCATGAAGACAAAAACTTAAATAATCGTTTTTGATAAACTTTTTTTCTAGTCTGAGGTACATTTTAAATATATGTATGTATTAATAATGTGAATGGTTTCATAAAAGAAAAAAAAAAAACAACACACTCAAAGTATTCAGAAACAACAAGAAAATTCAAGAAAAGCCCAGAGAACGATTTTTTTGTAGTTCACCAAAAAATTGGCTCTAGAAACTCTGGAAATTGAATTCAGTTTTCAATTTGCTTAGCCTCACTTCTTTCTCGAACAACTTATGAAGTAACTTTCATATACATATTACGAGTATGTATAGACAATCGCCCGATATAATATGAACTATAAATATCATTTTGACAATAGTGAAACCAAGAGCAGCAAACGTTTATGAAACTACTACTTCTAATCCTATCTATATACATATATCTATATATAGTGAGTAAATCAATTGAAAAATTTATGATTTTTCATTTCACTTTTTTCTTGATACTTTCGAATGATTTGTTTTTGAGAAGGATTTAAAAAAAAAAAAGAAAAATACAAATACAAATTCGAATGGCATCTATGAGTATATGTAAAAGGCTTACTCAACCAACTCAATGAGCACCTCAACTTTATTCGGTTTCCAACTAAAGAAAAACAAAATCTATGAATATGAATCAAGTCTAGTGCTATATACATATATAACTATATACATATATATGAAGCGACGGAGAAATTGAACCTGCTTTACGTTTAGTATTGCCACTGAGGCATATAGCAGTTGCACTCTCGCTCACCGGGCACTGGCTTTACTAATACGTGTACCTATACTTATCTCTATACTCGAAATACGATCTGTTGATCTATTCAGATAGGCGAACGACTACACGCTTTGCTTCACACACACACACACACATAGACACATATCTCTAGGTAGAAATGTTCTCTTTCGATGCTAAGTGAAGCATTTGGCAACACGTAATGCTCAAATATATAAAATTCATATGGATTCAAGTTCTATAACGATTTCCGATACAGTATTTCGATTTGGTTATACATACCCATGCTTGAGCACATTTCATAGATTCAAACATTCATGTAGATTAAAGATCTATAACGATTTCAGATTCATTGCTCATATATAGAAACCTTTCATAGATTCCAGAAAATTCCAGTTCAGATTCAGAACTCCAAAATAGCCAGAAGATAAATAGAATCTATATGTACATTCCATCTGTGAGCAAGTAATACCCACGCTTGAGCACAATTCATCGATTCCAACATTCACATAGATTAAAGATCTATAACAATACTCATATATTCATTATGCATCTAATTTTCATCTATTATTATTAATATCAGATATACATATATATTGTTTTGTAAGATTATCTCTGTTCTTTCTTGAAGATTCGAGTTCTTGGCATGTTATAATCCCCATTTGAAATAAATAGAAATATACTAAAAACGTTGGTGTAAAGCAAATATCTAAACTAAATCTATAAGATGACAAATACACACACACACACACACACACACACAGAGCGATACACTCAAAATGTACATAGTATTAGTGTGTGTGGTTTTTTTTTTTTTTTTTTTTTTTTTGTTCGTGATGAGTTAGATATTAAGCATTAGTTTAGGCCGCCTACAAGACAAGTGTATTAGCTCTAAGGCAACTTCATCTGAGAAGAGAAAGGAAAAACAATGTTTGCAAGCAATTAAAATTTAAGTAAGTGCTAAATGAAAACAATAAATAAAATGTAAAAGCCAAAAACAAAGCAAAAGAAAAGAAAAGCAAAGCAAAACAATGTAATTTTAATATACTCACATGCATATGACATAGGACATACAACTAAACATTATAAAAAATAAATTAATTAATAAAAAAAAAAAACAAAAACACTTAAGCACAGTCGCTCGCTAAAAAAAAAAAAAATAGTTTAACACAATAAACACTTGAACGAAATAGCCGTAAAAAATTAAAGAAAAAAAAACTAACATAAATGTTAAATTTAACAGGCGCTACTGAAAGCCAGATATATTCTCTATACATCTATAGACTATATATTTAGCCAGGAATTGAAGCTAGACTCAATCGAATGTTTTTTTTATTTTCATAAATATGCCCAAAACTCAGCAGGCAGGCAAAATTTAAAAAAAAATTGTATGGAATATATGTAACTTGAGGAAATTCCAATGTTCGTATTACTTGCAAATAGACCTCATTGGCATTCCCATATATAATACGAGCGTAGCCTCCTTTTGAAATAGATTTTCCTGATTTGTTCAAGTCAATAAAAAAATCATTCAATTTAAATTTTATTTCAAACCCATTTTGAAGTAAAATGTAAGCGAGGAAACTCAGATATACTTTGTCGCCTCATAGAGGGCATTTCTCCAGAAAACTCTACTTGTGTACAAGTGTCAAAAACATTTTTGTTTTGACTAATAGAGAATCTCATAGCTCTTGATTAGCGCTCTAAAATATAAGAAAAAAAACCTCAGATGGTTCGCACGCTACTACAGTAGACATTTCTCAAGAATCTCCCATATACACCCTAAACTTAATCTAGGGTTTGCGTGACTCTATTTTTTCGCCAAAGATTGCAATTTAAGAATTGCAATAAGAATTCAAATATAAAGTCCTAGGCCTCTTTATATATAAGCCTCTTGAATGACCCAAGAAATACTTCACCCACTATAGATCTATAGACGGATCTATAGATGCATAAACATGTGTGTGTGTGTGTGTGTGTGTGTATGTGTGCATGTGTGCAAGCATTTAAGAGCCATCTATGCGCTGAGTTCCGGGTATGTGTTAGTCGGATACTTCCGACTTGAGCACTTTTTTACTTATTTGTTTGAACATTTGGAAGTTGATTTTATTTGTAACTTAATATTATTATTTTTATTTATTTTTGTTAAGAGCAATGAAAGTTGAGAAACTCTGATCAAATGGATGCTATTGCCACTTCACACTGGTCTAGGACAATAAATCGAGACAGCAAACCAAATGCCTCAAATTGTAGTTATTCACACATATTTGATTTATTCGATTGATGTGTGCATGATAGCAACAACAACAACAACAACAACAACATCTTCTAGCATTCATAGCAATCTCAGTAAATTTAAAAAAAAACAAAATTTAATGGTTGTACGAAAGAACAAAAATAAAATAAATTAAATACCCAAGCCATTCTCAAGTTTAATATAAAAAATAAAAAAAATTCAAAACATTTTTTTAGAATGCAAAAGTCAAAAAGCGACAGCAAACCGAAACTAAAACAAAAACTAAAAAAAAAAAAAATATTAAAATTTAACTTAAATACACAAATTAATTAAAAGCAAAATTAATAAAAAAAAAATTACATACACATACACGCATTATTAAATTTAAAAATTAAAAAAAAAAAACTAAATGAGAGCAAAGCAAAGAAAATATAAAACTAAAAATTAAAAATAAAAAAATTAAAATTAAATTAAAAATGCCAAAAACTACTAAAGGGCAAAAATGTTAACTTAGTAAATAAAAAACCAAACACAAGAAAAAACACGCAAGAAACGATACAATATGCAATTACATAAAATGTTTTAAACAATAAACAACAACAAAACAAAACAAAACAAAAAATAAAGAATGCAGATCCATATGGAATTCAATAAATAAATGCAAAATATTCGTTTTTGTTTTTTCTCCACTCCCGACTCGACTTATTTATATATTATATTTAATAAAATTTCACGCATTTCAAACAAAACAAATGTTTTTTATTTCACATTAAACTTAAGGGGATTAGGGATAGTAGGTCTTCTTGAAGCGACCCTCGCGATTCTTGCGGCCGCCGGGTCGCACCGCCTTCGGCACATAGACCTTGTCGTGCTGGTCGAGGGTGCGGCGCCAGGGATTGATGTCCAGTTCGAAGAAGCGACGACGCGCCTCCATTGCTCGCGTCTTGTTGTCAATCTTGTAGAGCTTCTCCCACATATAGATCTCGGGCAGTTCCAGGTGCCTTGGCCGTTTCGATGCCAAATGCTTGAATGTGTGCTCGAGAAATTCGCGTTGCTCCGCATTCTCATAGTCGGCGGCGCGTCGCAGCGTCGGTCCGCCCACATAGGGCAGCAGCTCGTCCGCGGTGCGCTGAATGCTCGGCGCTCTGATATACAGCTCGAGCAGCTGACGGAGCGTGTTATCGTTGAAATCGACGCATTTGCCCTCAGTCGAGATCTCGGCGTATAGCGGCTGTGGCGCTGTGCCGCGACAGAAATTAACCCGCGGATTCGTATCCACATACGCGCCATGCACCAGCAGCGTATTCAACTGATATTCATAGAAGCTCCATTCACGTCCGTTGGTGATCACGGTCTGTGTGTTCATGGGATAGGTGAGCTCGTTGTAGGTATTGAAGCCATGGTAGTTGGCCTGCGCCAGCAGCCAGGCGTACGATGACTGAATGGCCAGTGCATGTAGCGCCTCCAGGTCGTCGCGTTCACCGCAGGACTTGGGCCGCAGCTGTAGATGGGCGCGCGACTGAAACGAGAGCATGCCGAAGTTGGGCGCATTGGCGCTGGGCCAATAGCCGGGCACATTGACTGCGTGCTGGTATTTGGTGCTGTAGCCCAAGGTGCGTGCGTCAATCTTGAAGCGCGGCAGTTGCTGAGCGAGCGTCAAGTTTTCGCTCTCCTCCGGTGTCTTCCATGTGGGCAGCTGATGGCGGTGGCGGAGCGCCAGGTAGGGTGCGCCTGTATACTGCACCAAACGATCGCAAGTCTCGTGCGCATCGTCCTTCTGCCAGGGACGGCCCTCTTTCGATTTGACCACGTTCTTGGGCGGATCAACACCACCGACGGCCCAGAAGGCCTCGTGACGCGGATTGTAGTCGATTTCAACCTCGTTCAGATGGCCATAATCAGCACTGAGTACCTGCAGGGCAGACCGGTTAACCAGCTCCACAATGATTTGCGTCAGCTGCTGTTCGCGCTTGACGCCATCCGGCGGAGTTTCCATCAACTGCAGCTGATGCCTGCAACAGTCATTTTGTATTAGTTGTGATATTCTTAGCAACATATGCCACTTACTTGTAGACATCGTGGGCATATTCCAATGCCTCGATGATATCGTCGCGCGCAATCTTTACAGTCGCATCCAAGTCATCCTTCTTGTCCTCCGTCGTGGCTTGTGGCGTCGGCAGCTCCTCCAGCACGGTGCGCGTGTAGTGTTGCGTCAGCGGCAGAGCATTGTAGGGTATTTTGGTGTCGTTCAGGTCGACTACCTTGTAGCCATAGTAGCGCGGCATATTCACCTTGATCATTTTTTCCTCAACGGTGGGCAGCTGGCGTATCTGCTCGTGCCACTCGGCCGCCGTCTGCTGCTTGCGGCTCTTGTATGAGAGATCCCTGATGACGGGATACTCTGGCTCTGCCGTGTATTCGGCATCAGTCACTGCCACTGCCTTGGGCTCCGCTTTAACGGACAGATAGCGGCGGCAAGCGGCATTCAGACGCGCACGTAGCTGCTCTCCACGTCGCAGCGTCAACATTTTCGCCGGTCTACAAATTTAATACAAGACTTATTTAAGTAAATAAAATACTACCAGTCGAGCCAACGAGGTTATGAAATCGAATCGCAGACAGACCGATAGCCGTGCAATCTATAAAAATCTATCGACAACAAGCGGTGCAATATCGATTAGCAACGGCGCGAACATTGGTGCGAGTATATGAGGTGAGTATGCTGCTCTCAATTTACAAACACACACATAAATAAATAATATATGTTTGAGTGTGCTAGTGCAAATAATTATAAATTTTTATCTTATCAGTTTATTTTGAGAGAATTGTTGATATACATATTTTATTGCAGACAATAATAAATTGTTGTGCATAGTCTAGTGGCTGATGATTTGAATATCGATATAGATGCTTGATATTTTAAATTAAAAATTGCGGTACGTAAAACCTTTTTGAAATCTTAAAGATATATGTAAACTGAAATGTAATCTGATCAGTAAAAATAATGCAATTAAAAATTGTAATGTGATCAAAAAATAATTCATTTAATAACGAACAGTGAGCTGTGCATAGAGTATCGATTTTGCTCGCTATCAGTGATCAGCGTACCAGTTGCGATATGACGATCGCTTTTGTTTTGTTTTCGCACAACATCTTAAATTGGATATAAACAAGTATTTGCGTGTATTTAGTATTTAGTGGTATTCCCACGTGAGTGTGCTTCCCAAAAACTGTGTTGGCATTTGAATAAAAGAAGAATCTTCGCTGACCACGCAAAACGCGCCCACTTCTTATCTGCGAAACCCTCTCTTAACTTATCAAAGTATTTATATACACATACATACATATGTATATAATCTCTAATATATTTTAATATTTATACGCGAACTAATAGACAACGTCACGCGCTCATCAAACCAAATATCGTGAAGTGGCATGCACAAAAACATGTCCAATTTGACCACATTGTCTGCAGCTCAAGAACGCACACGGGAATGGCTCGCCTCGCAGGAGGATGAACTAGAATCTTTAGCTGAGTCATCGGTAGTGGATAGCTTGGACGATTACAAATACAGCGAGCATACGTTTACCGAACAGGAGGACGACGATGATGATGATGATGACGATGTCACTGGCGAAGAGGTCAGCACCATTGCGCTGGGCACGCGAGAAGGTGAGTCAACACACAAGCAAATATGCGTATATAAATGTATATATATTAATTTATTTATACATTGACAGGCACGAGCAAAGGCGGCATCATCGGCGACACACTGCGCGATCTGCTCAACTCGATCAATAGCATCCAAACAGTGGGCAATGTGAACATTAGCAACTCGACCAACGTTCACATCGGCAATGTGACCAACATCAATGGCAACATACAGATCATCGCTGAGCATATGAAACATCCGCGCAACAAACGCCGGCAGCGACGCAAAGCATCGATCGTCGAAGTGTCCGAAGCAAACGAACAAGACCATGTTGAAGGAGAGGAACTGGACGAGTCTGAGGAGCGCGTCAGTGCGGATATGTTTATTAATAGTCACAGTGAGCAGAAAGAGACAGAGAGAGAGGGGGTGAATAAGACATTTTCTAACTTATATATTCACAGAGTTCAAACTACCACAAGAGCTGTGTTGCATCATGCCGCGCCACTCCTGGCTAGCCCAAAAGCCCATGGAACCGCCCGTCCAGCTGCAACGGCCAGTCAAATACGTGGTTATATGTACGTTTATAAATATATATATGAATATATGGGAATTTATAGATTACACATGTTAAACATGTAAGCAGTCAACCAACCAGATATTATATATAGCTATATTAGAATCTTAATCGAGCCATAGTTTAGTTAAGAGATTGTAACTATTTTAAGAGCATTGAGTCTATCTGTATAAATCTGTCTCTAGCTGATAGATCAATTGAGATCATAACTTTCTTAAGAGAAAGCTTGAAGATCCATAAGATCTCAAAACATCTCTAGCGGCATAGCTTATGATCCGATTGTATAGCTTTATATGTATTTACCAGGCAATAGTTTAGTCAAGGGATTGCAGCTCTCTTAAGAGGAAGCACTGGGAAAAGAACAAGCTTATGAAGATCCATGAGACCCTAAGGCAGCTCTAAAGGGAACATTTTATCTTATAAGTAGACCACTGTTCTATATATAACTGATATGTATATATCTTGCTAATCCACAGCACACACTGCCACAGAGAGCTCAGAGAAGCGTGCGATCAATGTGCGCCTCATACGTGACATTCAGGTAAGTTCGAAGTCCTCGCTTAACATTGATTGATACTCATGCAACTCCTTCTCCACGAGCAGTGCTTCCACATCGAGAGTCGCGGCTGGAACGACATCGCATACAATTTTCTCATCGGCTGCGATGGCAACATATACGAGGGGCGCGGTTGGGAGGCAGTGGGCGCCCACACCTTGGGCTACAATAAGATGGCGCTGGGCATCAGTTTCATTGGGTGCTTCATGCGCGAGCTGCCCACACCGCACGCCCTGACCATGTGTCACAATCTGTTGGCGCGCGGCGTTGAGGATGGCCACATAGCCAAAGACTATCGCCTGATCTGTCACTGCCAGTGCAATTCGACGGAGAGTCCGGGCCGTCGACTCTTCGAGGAGATACAAACCTGGCCGCATTTCTACAATCTGGCCCAGGAGGGACAGTAGTAGCGTATTACATGACTAGATTCGGAATCGAAACCGAGATTCGATATATGTATTTATACAGTTTTTGGTGATTGTCTTGGACAAATATTTTTAAGTATTTAAACTGTTTGTCCGCTTCCTGCACTTTTTTCCTGTTTTGTTAACTATTTGATTTATGTTTTTGTGCAATTATTGTGAAAGAATACACGACTAAAATATACGTTTCTTTCAATATATTAGATTATTCGACAGACTTTTTGTTTGTTTTGTTTTCAATTTAATTTAATTCGTAAATTTTAATTATGGAAACAACTCAACATTTTGCCCACGCTTCCTGTGATGGCCGCCAGTTGACTTGGTAGCGCCTAAGCAGAGTCTGATTGACGAGCTGTGAAAAGGAATACTGCAATTAGTACAAAGTAAAAGATTTACATGTATATAAAAACAATATTAGTTAAACACAAATAAGGGCTCAGCTTGCAGTGGGTTAAACAACGTAGGCAATTTTCGGAATAGATAGAGAATGCAATCTCTGTCTGCTTTCAAGGTATTGAACAAGTATTAATAGAGAGAGGCTGGCTAATTAGTATTCAGATGCATCATAACTTGGGTTTCGGGCAACTCAAAAACTTACACCTTGCTACAAAACTGACATAATATTGTTGAAGCAATTAGGGCTTCTCATCTGCAAGGCACAGAGAAACGAAATAAATGTTTAACTAAATGTTGAACGGTTTCGGAGAGACTAGCACCAAGGCCAGGAGCAAACAGCCTTGTGTGCATAGCTCGTGTTTACATAATGCACAAATGAGCTAGTTCGTTTCTATTGGCTGGAACTGTTGATCTGTATAACGGGATCTCCGGCATCTCGATTGCACAACATTCGCTTGTTGGTCGATTACTTACGTGCGGGTCTGCCGTTGGCCCAGGGAGTGAATTTCACGTGGGTCTCGTTGCGCTTGGCGGCATCGGCACGGAGGTCGGCACGCAGGGCATTGCGCAGCACACGGGCAGCAATGTTGGAATATTGGATGTAGCTGCAAAGGAACCGAATGTTGAACAAGAGCTTATTAGATCATGAAGAACTTTCCTCTTTGTGCGTGTGTGGGTCTTAGAATAAAATGCAGCAAGCAACAATTACGTAATGCACGCAAAGTGAGCACAATCACCATATAGTATTTACACTTCATGAATTAAATTTGTTATATTTCGAATTTGTAACACTTACGTAAGTCCAGCAGCTCTCCAGGCGTTGGTCATCTTGTCAAATCTTTTTGCAAATTTTTCGCACAGAGAAACAGAATTATAGACCTTTGCTAGTGCAGGCGCTTTCGGAGTTCGTGATGTGAGCTAGTGGTGCGAGCACTTAATCGATAATCCCATTTATCGGTGAGTACATTTATGCAGCACTGACAATTAATTGTATCGATGCTATACAATTTTACAACTTTAGTGTTAATTTCCATACATTATCGGCATATGTCTAGCTGACTTAAATACAATAATATTTAATATTTTTCTTAATAAGCTTTTCCACTCAGTTGCAGACGACTGTCGGGTATATAACAGTTGAGTACGGAATATCCACAATTCTCGCTGAAATATCGATCAATCGATATTTTGCAGCATCGCCCACTGAGCTTTGTTTGTGTTGTGTCTCACTTGCACATGTGTAACTGTTGTTGTTGAATATTAATCTTTTATTGGGAATAACTAATCCCATCTATTTAATATATATAAGTTAGCCAAAAAAGCTTTAAATGAGCACTGCATCTTAACGGCCATGGCTGAACAGGTGTACATTGTGTTGTAGTCCATTTATTATGCATATATAGCGAGTGTATTATAAGAAAAACATGTGCCGCTAACTTATCCAAAGGTTAAGGTTAAACCAAGCGCATTTATTAATTGCACAACTCTTGCTAGGCCCAGGCATGACGTCTGCCAAGCCACAGATATTAATTATTGAGCCCTTTTTCGGCGGCAGTCATAAGCAGCTGATCGACACATTGGTCGAATGTGAGTATGGCGAGTCCAATCAGAAACTGTCTTATCAGACATGCATATTATTTATTATTAATAGGCCTAAATCTGGCCGACTATGAGATCTTTAGCTTGCCCGCTAAGAAGTGGCATTGGCGTGCACGCACCTCAGCGCTGTACTTCTCGCAGCTGATTCCGCCGGAACACGACTACAAAGTGCTCTTCACCAGCTCCGTGCTCAATTTGGCGGAGCTAATTGGTGTGCGTCCGGATCTGGTTAGCTGCCGGAAGATTGTCTATTTTCATGAGAACCAACTGGTCTATCCAGTGCGCGAGGTCAAGGAGCGCGACTGTCAATACGGCCTAAATGAAATTCTTACTTGGTAAGCGAACTAGATTAGCATTAGATTTTCAATCGAAGTCTAGCTGGACTCTTACTTTCAGCCTTGCTGCGGATGTTGTCCTCTTCAATTCGAACTTCAATCGCATGTCCTTTCTGGACAACGTGCAGCCCTTTCTCAACATCCAGCCGGACTTCAAGCTGAAGCACATACGCGAGCGCATCGAGAAGAAGTGCGAAGTGCTCTATTTCCCCATCAAGTTCCATGCCTTTCCCAACAAGCGCCACATGATGGATGCTGAGCTGAGCACGGCGGAGCCGCATTGCCTGCATCTGATTTGGCCGCATCGCTGGGAGCACGACAAGAATCCCAAATTACTGGTCGAAGTGCTGATGGAGCTGAACAAGCGTCAGGTCGACTTCAAGGTGACAATCTGCGGCGAGAGCTACCAGGCGACGCCCGAGGCCTTCGATGGCATACAACAGAAGCTGGGCGCCAAGCTGATCAACTTTGGTCACTTGACGCGCGAGGAGTACATCAAGGCGCTGCTCACCGGCGACATTGTCATCTCGACGGCCGGTCACGAGTTCTACGGCGTGGCCATGCTGGAAGCCACCTATTGTGGCTGCTATCCGATTGCGCCCAACAAGCTCGTCTATCCGGAGATCTATCCCAAAGAGAATCTCTACAATACGTCCAATTCGCTAATCAAAATGCTTTACAACTGGTGCCGCAATCCGGATATCTTTCGCCGGCATCGCGACAAATTCTTCGACTACTTCAACTTTGAGCGCTACTCGGCCCAGCATCTGGTGCCCAAGTACATGGAGAAGATGCGCATTACGGTCTAATCTCCAGTCTGGGGCCGCAACGAATTTAGTTCTGTAAGCACACACAACGAAAACTTGACCAATTTTGTTTAGATCTAGTAGCTGCGCAAGTGTAGGGTATATAGACATATATACATTTAGGATACATAAGCTATTGAGTATATAATATATCTTTTGTATATTAAACATATACATATATATATATATTGTTAATTTGAGTGCCAGTTGTTAGCAGCGTATTTTGTTTAGCTGCGCGTTGTTGTCATCAAATATGCATTTAGCTAAGTTGCCTTTTTTTTCAATTTTTTTTTTCTTTGTTATAATTACTAGGAATGTAATGATTATATATACACAAATGTTTGTTTACCATCAATTGCCTTAAGATATTATATTCCCAGTTCCGTATTCCGTATTGTGTATGTCTCGCTCTAACTCACTCACTCAGTCTGTCTCTGTCTAAGCCGTAATTTAAACCAATTGCTCTCTATAAAATATTGAGTTTTAATACATTCGCATTATATACACACTTGAACTACTCTGATCCAGAACTACTTTAAGAGGAGGGGGACAACAAAGGGGAGAAGGCGAGGAATAATAAAGTAAATTAATGAGTAACTAATCAACAGAAACAAAACGAGCCTTTAGAAGTGATTCTCCTTGAACTTGGGCGGCGCACTGTACTTCTCCTTGACGTGCGCCCGGTACTCCTCGTCGTCGTCGTGGCACTCGCGATAGCACTGGGCACAGAAGAGCTCGCCGTTGCAGCCACGGCAGCGGTAGACGGCATCCTCGTCACAGATATTGCACCAGGGCAGCTCCTCGTTGATGGCCGCATTGCTGCCCGACGACAGCTCCGACTCCAGGGCGTCGGCAGCCGGGGGCAGGCGCGCCTCAGCCACGTACTGTAAAAGGAAATGGAAAGTTGAATTGGACACAATTGCTCAAGCTGCATTCAAATCGTGTGCACCTTCTTCATGATCTTCTGCAGCATCGTCTCATCGTTTTCATCCTCGTTGTCGCTGGGCGTATTCGTGGCCGCTGTGCTGATGCCCGTTCCCGCTGCCGCTGGGACACCATCGATGGGCGCATCGCGCAGCGCACGCAGACGTCTCTCAATGTCGCTGATGGCATCGTTGCGCTCGGCGTCCACGCGCTGATCCAGCGCTGTTTCGCCCATGAATTGCTGGAGCAGATCTTTGATCCTTTCCTGATCGGTTCTTTGGTCGGTGGACAGCAGCAGATCCTTTTTATCGTAGTTCTTCTGGTGCGGCATGCCGCTCAAATTGGACAGACGGGCACGTATCTCATCGTCACTCGTGTCGACAGCCTTGAGATTCTGCAAGCGCTTGCTAATTGCATGGTCTAGGTTCTCATCTATATCCTCGCTGCTTGTGGCTGGTGCTGGAGATAGAGCTGCGGCCGCCTCGCCAACGCCCGCAGGGCTGGTGGGCGAGAGAACAGCGGCCAGCTCCTCCGAGGGCAGCACATTGCTATTGTCAGAAGTACAATTAGCGGACTCTAGACATGGACAGCAGCTGGTTGGGGCTCTACTCACTCGAACAGCGCATCGGCCGCCTCGCTGTCCGGCGGGGTGTGGTTCTTGTGCGGCAGACGCTGCTTGGTCACCAGCTCCCCGGGCAGTGCCTCGCAGTCGATCACCTTCTCGGCATCGGCATTGGCCTGCATCTTGGTCAGTTTGTCGTAGCAGATGAGGCACACGTTGAGCACCTTGTTGCCGTGGCGCGGCACTGCAATTGGGCGCTTTAGGCATTTGGCACAGTACGAATAGCCACAGTTTGGGCAGCCGTACTGCAATAATGCAATTGGGATTAACAACAAAAAGAAACAAGCCTGTCTACCCATTCTCACCTCTTTGCAGAAGAGCCCATACTTACGGCTGCACCCGTAACAGCTCATTTTGTGGACACCTGTTAATTAAAATCTAAATTGCAATTAAACTAGATTTTTTCGTTTTAGAATTTGGCCTGGAATAGCTGGAATAGCAAGTAAACAAAGACGTCTAATTAAACCGTTGACTCACAATATTTTGTTTATCGATGCTATCGATATTTTTGGCTCACTTTGAGCCGATGATGAACTGCACGTAAATAAATTATTAAATATAGCTTTTTACAATGTTTTGTTTTAAATAAATAGTTTATAACTCCAGGTTAGACATTTTGTTGTAGACTAAATATTTGTATTTTGTCAATTTGCCCACATTTACTTATCGTTTTACATCAAATTACAATGTTTGGCTTATCGATTGCAGCGGTGCCATCGCTAGAGAGGCGCACTTAATATTTCAATTCAAATTGCAAGGCTTTTGTATAAATAGAAAGTAAAAATATATTATTTATAGTTAGTTTATATAATTAGATTGCTTATGATTTCTCATCTTTTTTAATTGTCCTTCTTCCTCATATATTAGTATATATTTATATATGTGTTCTGCTTATTTTTGGAGTAGTTAAAAATCGCAAAGGTTCCTGGTTAGTAATAATTCTTCGTTTTGAGCTTTTCATACACAAAATGTTTTCTTTTATTATCATACATGTGCAAAAAAAAAAAAAAAGAAGGAAATTAAATAGATAATATTTCCGAGCTCAAGGCAGCTCGACCAAAGTAACTTTTAGCTGCCGCATATTAAATATTCTCTAAGCTTTTCTCTTTTTTTTATCACCTAATGCACGTGGATTTCTTTTTCTGAAGCTTACTCAAAATTTGTGATGATAAAAAAATATGAATATTTTATAAATATATACGTATATATATATTGGTAAGTTTCAGGGAATGTTCTTCGTCTCGAAACTTAATTCGCATTATAAATTGTTATTAATTATGTATTATGTTGTATGTAAGTAATTGTAATTATCTTTTAGTATAAATGCAAAATACAAAATGTTCATGCGCGCATTGTGTGTGTCTTCTATATACTTTTCTATAGACTTTAATCCTACGAATGAGTATGGAGAATTATATATGTATGTATATATGTATATAAATATATATATACATATATAACAATATCGTAGCTATGTAAGGTGTTTAAGGAAACTTGCGTTTGTTTGCTTTTGGCTTTGTTGTTTGGGTAACAATAAACCAAAAACTTGATACTCCCGTTCAATAGACGAGTAAATACTTTCATTGCTGCAGATCAAGCGGTTGGGTTGAGAGTGTTCTGGATTTCCATTATTGTTGTTGCTGTTGTTGATTGTTTTCGTATATATTGTGAGTTATTCGGAAGGTGTGAGATCGCGTTCCAGTTCGTTTTCATTGAGTATCTGCGATAGCAAATCATGCAATGGCTCGAGTATCTTTTTGGCGCCGGTATTGGTCAGACTCTTGTAGTCGAACATGTCATGATGGCTAATGCTGCCGTCCGTATGCACCAGCCCCTTGTCGATGGCGACAGTCTGCACACGGTCCATGCCCTTTGTCCTCTCCTTGATCAGCTCGTTGATCTCCTTGTTTTTGTCGCGCAGCGCATTGGGTTGCTGGCCGCGTGGCAGAAGCGACTGCAAATATCAAATGATATATGTATATACATTCCATAAATATATATACAGTCAGATCAACTTACTGGTAATATGATGTAAGCGCTGGGCAGCTTTTCGCGTATCTTGGCCACGTTGGCGAGCAGGCCCTCGGCCACCTCGGCGGCGCTGTTGCTCGTGTTGTTCGTGCCGACGTGCAGGACGACGATCTTCGGATTCACATTGTCCAGAGTGCCGTTCTCGATGCGCCAGAGAACGTTCTCGGTGCGATCTTCGCGTATGCTGAAGTTGAGGCAGTGCAGCGGCGCAAAGTACTGATTCCAGGTGTCGGTATCCTGCAGCGTCTCGAATATACAATCTCCGAGGAATATCACGTCCGGATCCTTTTCGCGGCAATCCGAGATGAAGCGACGGTGTATGCTCAGCCAGCGCTTGTCGCCGTCAACATCGGGCACGGGTGTGGGCACAGCACAGGGATTCATGTTGCTTCCGCTGATGATGTTGATGTTGCTGTTGTTGTTGTTGTCGCTGCTGCTGCCGTTGTTGGTGTATTCAGCATGCGGTGTCCGCTGTTGCAGCAACCTTGCAGCAAAAACACAAAACTCTTAATGAGCTCAGTTGAAAGAGGCAATGCTGGGTGTTGCGGGGCAAACTTTGCGATCGGTTACTTTTCGCCCAGAGGTTCGTATAACGAGCGCAGATGAAAATAATTGTAACTAAGAGAATAATTGACAACACAAAATAGCGGCGACGATAGTGATGTGCATTCGCATCGGCCACAAATCGCATTCATCGCACAATAATCGAGAAATCGCGAAATAGCCGCACGCAATATATCGGTATATATTGATATATGCATCCGCTTAATTAAATGTCCACAAATATTTTATTTTTGTATTAATAGTAGCACTAACCACTGATAAGCTATCATTTAAAGTAAAACTAATTTATAGCTTAGACTTTCAGCTTGATATTGCAATTCGGAGTTAAGTTTACCTGCTTGCATATTTACATATCACACATATGGTATATAATATTTAAAATACATAATACTATATAAAAATAAATAAATATATAATACAATCTTATGTATATAAGTTTCTTTATTCACTCACATTAAACCTTAAAATGAAATATAAAACTTTTTTTGAAACATAATTTATGCAAATACGAAACTCAGCAAACATGAAATTTTTGTCATATGTGAAATATTTTTGTACAGTTCTGCTGTAGAGCAATATCAACAGAGCTTAAGTACGAAAAGAAAAGTAAATAGATAAATACAAAATAAAATTACAAACGAATTAAAAGTTAAGTTCTGCAATAAAATATAGTAACAATAACCAGTCGATAGTTTTCTTAAATACTATCGATTAAGTAGTTGCTGTGCATCCCTGGCCGCCGCTTGTCACTTTTCCCTGACACCATACCAAGCCAGCTATATTGCTTGCCGAGGCAAATTGACGTACAATTTTCCTCCGAACGATTTTTTTTTTTGTGCATGGAAATCTGTAATTTTTAGATTTATCAATTAACAAGGGGGCGCCGCGCAAATCTATCATCATGGACGTGGACCTCAGCCTGGACGAGATAATTGAACGCAAGCGCACACAGAATGCCCCACGGGCCACCGATAAAAAACTGTAAGTGCTCGGAATCCAAAAGAAAATGGCGCTGATTCGCTCAACTTTGGCATTCCCACACCATTTATTTTCCACAGACATGCCGTTCAGATGAAGCCGCGTAAGCCGGCTAGCAAACAGGGCCTGAACACGCACACATACGACGCCCGCAACAAGATCATCCAGAAGACGCGCGCAAAAATCGTTGACGCTCGCGACATACTCAACCAGAATATTCGCGAATCCGGCATCGATGCCCGCAACGTACTGCTCGAGCGCAAGAAGGAGCGCATGCCAATACCCCTGCCGCTGCCCCCGAAGTCGGGTCGCTCGCCGTCTCGTGGTGTCGGCGGTGCCGGCAGTCTACACAAGAGTCGCTTTACTCAACAGATTATAGCGTTGAACAAACCACCGAGCCGCGTCATACAAAATATGTTTAATATGAAGAAGGAACGCACTGGACTTGGCTACAAGCCGAGGCTCGGGGGCAGCACGGGCATCATATATGAGCCCAGGGTGCTCAATCCAGGCGCCAAGCCGTTTGTGCCAGCCGGCTACGTGGACTACGACAATATGCAGGAGCTAGAGGAACGTAAGGGGGTGTAGCACTAATGTCAATAGATCCTTCCATCTCATTCTCATCCATTCTTATAGAGGAAATTGCACGTGCTTTGCACCTGGCTAACATACGCACCAATTCCCCGCCACGTGTTCGCATGAACCGCTATGACCTGGACATGGACGGCGTGGAGATCACATCCACGGGCGGCAGTGCTCTGTCTAATGATCCGTTTTCCGTATACGAGGCGGCACGCAATCGTGTGGAGCGACCCACCCTGCCGCCTCCGCCATTGGGTGGCGGCCGTGTGGATGGCGGGGACAAGACGTTCGAGCGACGCCAGCGCAATCTGGCCACCTCCAATCTGCCGGAGTCGCTGCGTGCCCGTCTCTTTGGTAGCGAGCCCGATCGTCGCGTCTCGCACGGCATCTACGCGAACGAGAATGGCAGCGGTCAGTCCAACGGGAACATGACGACGTCCCATACGTCCTCGCGGTCCATTCACCAGCGTCGCAGTCCACCGAACTTATCGATGACATTGCCACTGAGTGTGGTCAACAAGCCCGGCTACCGTCTGCTGGTGAGCAATCTGCACGCGAACGTCACCACGGCGGACATACGTGAGCTGTTCAATGACATCGGGCCCATGTACGATGCCCACGTGGTACGTCCCGGCACTGCCGAGGTCATCTACAAGTCACTCGAGCACGCCGAAATGGCCGTAGAGGCGTATCACCAGCGCGAGTTCGACGGCCAGCCGATGCACTGTGTGCTGGTCAATCCGCACTCCTCCAATCGCTCCACACACTCAGTCAGGTTAGTGGACGCGATGATTAATCTATGTACCTCTGAATCGTCCTAAAACTCAATTCTCTGCTCTTCTCTAATTGCAGCTCTCGCACTGTGACGACAAACTCATCCGGCGTTGAGGTTGACATCGATGCACTGCACTCGGTGCTCTTCCGCGATCGTTAGGCCACACATCCAATATAATCGCTTCTTGGGCAATTACCAAGCGAACGATTCACCTAGACACTGAATTCATTGGCCACTCATCTCGATCTGCTCTGAAGGCCGCACCATAGACTTAAGCTACTCTAACTGTAGTCACACACATACACATACACCGCACGTACTCGAAACTTTTAGGAGATCACATAGTCTTATTGACAGCTTTTAATCAATTATTTTTTTTTTTTCGATTTTAATCTAATTGCTCTGTTTTTGTATACACTGTCTGTACCTCTCTCCCTCTGTCCATTAATTATTCTGTTTATACTCAAGAGCATCTAGGAATTAACAAAATATACATATATATACACTTGCATATACTACTGCTGCTACGGCTAATATATATACTAAACCGTATATATGTAGTACCACAGCTAAAATATTTTTTAGTCTAGGCTCGCTGCTGCTGTTCACTCTGATTAGATTAGATACCACATATACACAAAAACACATCTAAATATTAGTCTGGAAATGCGAAATAAACTTGTGTTGTTTAGCGAAATATACATTGTCGAATTTATTGATCTCTTCTGGTAATCGGGCGCTGATGGACGAAAACTTTTTCAATCGCATCCATCTATCTATAAGCTCCGAATTGGACTGCATTTGCATTTGATTTGGTTTGGATTTCGACATTTCGAATTGCAACAAATTAAGTTTTGTTTTTTAAAATTTTTTTTGTACAGAAATTCCGGCAGCTCTTATTCTGCTTGATTAATTGAAATACCAATTGGATTACGCTTCCAAGCTGCGATTGATTTACTCATTCCAATTGGATTCATGCATTGACCTATGCGAAATCCAAAGAATTTGTAGTTTTTATATGAAAACTGACTCGTAGTTGTTTCCCTGGTTGGTTGATTGGAATACCAGACTATACGTATAAGCCGTTTCCATTCCGCTCCAATGGCCATTCCAGCGGCAAATACCGATTGGATTTTTAAGTGGAATTGGAGATTTTACTTTAAATATGTTTTCTCCCATTTGGTGCTCGGATATTTGATAATGCCAGTTCATCTGGCGAATCCGGTTGGCAAATGTATAAATGTATAGACCAATTGGATATATGTGTTTATATATGGCTTCATTGGAACTAGATTTTGATTGAATTTCATATTAAATCGGAATCAAATTTTGGTTTTTGTGCTATTTATATTTTTCCCAGTGTAATACTGACAGCGAATCAGTTCAATTGAACCATATTTTGAGTGGTTCAACAAAATGCCAATTAGAATTAAATGCACAAGCAATCCCAATTGGATTCCAGATAATTTTACGATATTAAATTTTCTTTCGTATTTATTGAGAGTAAAATTTGCCATTTTTGTGAATCAGTTCAAATGAACTCGGATTGGTTCACCGACATTCCAATTGGATTTAGCTTTAATTTCACGTTAAATCAATTGAATTTCCGTTTGATCTCTTAGTTTGTTTCTTGTTTTAATATTTATTACATATTACATACAAATGTACAGTAAATATTTTAAGATCGCATAAAATTAATTCATAATAATTAAGTAAAAAAGCAGGATTAAGTCAGCAATTGAAGAGGTGCACAGGAAAAACGGCAGAGCCAAGGCGGAGCAAGGAGGGGCAGGAGGAGGAAGTGCTTGAAATCGATTGGTGAACAGGATGACGTGGATGCTCCGTCCGTGTGTCCCGGCTCAGTTGTCCCGGACGCCAGTGCCGTAGTTGGCGCCGCCGGCACGATTCAGTGCCTCACGGAACAGCTCGATGTCCAGCTCCGCCTGGACGCCCGCCTGCAGCTCCACGGCAAAGTTCTGCAAAGATGATGAGATAATTAAAGGGGAATTCGAGGGGGGAATCGCGGTGCGAATTCAAAGCCAATGCCACTCACATTCAGCACGTCCTTGATGAGCGCCTTGTCCGTGGACATTTTGGCACGCTGGATCACGCCCACCTCCTGGCCGATCCATGTCAGAAAGATGAACTTCTTGCGCTTGGACATCTCGTCGCCCATCTGTATGCGGATGTAGCCAAAGGCGCGCTCCGAGTCGCCGAACTGCTCACGGAACTGCTCGAAGCACTGGCCACGCCCATGCACGATTATCTGCGCCCCATCGAACTTGAACACCGCCCACTCCGTGTCGGTCAGATCCGAGCGCACGTCCTCGTACGCCTCCCGAATGGCCTCCTTGTCCAGTGACGTGGCCACCGGCATCTGCCAATTGAGCAAGAAAACAACAAATGAGCCAAACGAAACAAATACAAATTCAACTTAGAGCTAATACGGAAGAGCTGCCACGCCCATTTTGCAGTTTACATTTTGTTTAGCTTCGCGTTGGCTGCATCGAAGCATCCGTCAGATACTTTCGCTTTCGTTTCCGTGCCAAGAGCCAGCCTAGCAATAACAATAGCAATAACAATAACAATAACAATAGCAATAACAATAGCAATAAAATTATGAATCCATCACGCCAATGCATTTTGCCTCCGCCAAACTCTTCAATTTGTTCAGCTCGAAATGTTGCATAAATTAAAATCGCATGCGAATTGAATAACTAAAACAGAGCGAGACAGCAACAGCCACAAAAAAAAAAAAAAAAAACAGTTACAAATATTATATATACTTGCCTCAAGGCAAAAAGTAGCAAAGTTTTCATAGGAGAATTCATTTTTTTTCTAACTGTTTTAACGGAAATTGTTTTCATTCAATTGATAAAAAATATATAAACACAATGTTTCGTGCGTAATGAAACAACTATTTCTATATCATGTATCATAGATAATATGTACTTGGTAAGTAACATCGACATAGACGTAAACGCAGCCGTAGATAAAGCCACAGCAAATTCGAACATAATCTTTAATTGGTTCCGTTTTCATGGACGTCAGTAGAGCTGGACATTCTTACTAAGAATCTAGCTAACTCCAGGTCTCTCTAGGACTCACTCTCTCTCTTCTTTGCTCGCTCTATTTCTCTTTCAATTACTCTCACTCTTTCTCCCTCTCCCTCTCCTACTCTCTGTCTCGCTCTCTCTCTTTCTCTCCATCTATCTAAAATTCTCTTTCCATATCTCGATTTCTATATATCCTTGTTCTACCTCAGTATCTCGCTTTCTCTCTATATACATATATACAGTTCCTCTCTCTCTTTTGTATCTCGCTCTCTATGTATCTATCTATGTAGCCTCTATCTACCAATAATAATATATTGTAATAAAGCCTTCCATCTACACCGCTGGCCTATAAATTCTTCATTTATTATATATCTATAAGATAATTAGTATGCAAAAAAAGATTGCATTTAACTTAAATTAAAATGTATCAAAAATATTTACATATACATAAATACAACTCAATCATATGTAATGGTATACAAATGCAATTGTATTTGCATGCGAGAGTAATTTGAACTGATTGAATGGCCTCACTGACCGATTTGTGCGTGAGGGTAATAAACAAAAAAATAAATTGTTAATGTTTTTGTGTTTCCGTCAGATCAGTAAACGCGTAAACGCGGCTTCATTTATTATTGCTTAATTTAGCTTGCATGGGGGATGATGCATTAATGTGTTAATTGTGGCTGTTGTTGGCTGTCGACTTTTAATGGAGACTGTAGCAGTTTTCGATATCGAAAGTGAGTTCGTTCGCTTTCTGGCTCGATTTATTGTTGGGTACTTTCAAGCGGGCATATACAGATACATGTATATATATACACATACATATATATGTATGTTAGTTTTCGATGTCGAAAGCCAGCCCATATCGCATACGACGCTCGAATAATTCGAGCGAGTTACAGCTACTTTGGAAAGTCATCGAGAGCCGTTTGGGTGACAGCTGATCGGGCGTCTTCAATCGAGATTTATGTATTGTTTTGTTTGTATGCGCTCCATTTGAAACAATTTAAGCATCACAATTTTCAATCAGCAAAGCCGCCGACAACAGCAGCAGCAGCAGCAACAACAACGGGAAAAAAAAATATATGAAAAAAAAGAACGGTCTACAGATAATTTTGTGCGGCGGCTGAGATGTTGGCAGCGACAAAACAAAGAGCATCAAATATAACAACAAAACTGTCGCCATATGGAGCAGTGCAGAATGAGCAGATGAGCAGCAGTAGCAAAGCGCGTGAGTGCGACAGAGAGGGAGCGCGAGTAAGAGAGCGGCTGGATCATAATGCGTTCGTTGACCGAAATTGGTTTTGCGTGTGTGAGAGAGATTTTGTGTGCCTGTGAATGTGCGCCTCTCTCTGTGTGTGCGTGTGTGTGTGTGTATGAGAAAAATCAATTAGAAAAGCGCAAAGCGATTTAGAAAAGTGCGCTCTGGAAAGCAGAATCTGATAACAAATTGACAAACAATTAGAAAGATCAAAGAATAGAAAATTTTCGGCCTCCGCTTAGACTTTCACGACGATAAAAACTGTAATCTTTTGATTTGTATTGAATTAATTAGACAAAAATAAATGAGCAGCCAAACATGCAAAAACTGTGCCAGCAGAATGAATACAGACAAACAGACACACACACACATACATACACACAGCGAAGAATAGCAGAGAAGTGAAATAAAACCGTTGCCATAATTTGTGCGCTGCCGACAATTTGCAATAGGAAACAGCTAATGCAGAATAAGAAGAAGAAGCTGAGAGAATAAGAATTATGTATGCATGTCTGTTTGTATGTTTGCATATAGCCAGCTGCCATAATTTCGAGCGCAAATTAACGGCTTTTTGTATTTTGCTTTATTTATCTGATAAGACATTTCTCTCAACTATCTCGGCGCAAAACGAATTGGCACACACTTAGATGCGACTGTTGACTGGGCATGTCTGATAACTAATCATATACATACATACATACATACATATGTATGTATATATATTGCCACAATTGTTTTTTCGCCTTATTATTTGTTTGTCCTAGGCTCGGCTTTGGGTGCGGATGCGGGCAACTGTGCGTATGCGTATGCGTAAGCGGGTGCAGCGGTGACGCAAGCCCAATCGCTTGCTCTCTGTCTAACAAGTCTTGCGACTCAGATAAGCCGAGGAGCATGTGTGAATCGAATTTTGATTTACGCCAGCCCTCACACATGCACACTCACACACAAACACATTGACTTGCTGCTGCTTGTTGCATTTGTGTTTGCTAGTTCTTGTCTTCTGCAATCAGAGTAATCAAATAGTTCCAGTTCATTGCAACTATGTAGTTGATGTGAACCATTTGCAAACGAAAGTGAAAGCTATCGATATTCGTAATCATATCGGCAAAGATTTATTGATTGCCATCCTTATCGCAGTCAGGCTTGCTGCCAAGTGCATACTTATGTATGAATGTTTTATATGCATATGTACAATATTTAAAATATATATTTTTATTTGAGTACTTGTATAATCTTACATTATGCCGTTATTTTTATCTAATCTCAAGTCAACAGCTACTGATCGCCTGATTCGCTTTAAGCAAATGCATTCAGGATTGTGTGAACAATGGCAGCTTTTTACAGCAAAGCAAGTTGCGATGAGTGGCATGCCAGACTAGGGAATACCCTGGCTAACTGTATTCAAATATTAAATGACCTTTTTACTTATTAAAATTATTGATCAAAGTTTTCGATATTAATCTGAGCCAAAATAGCTTATTTACGTGATTGAAACTGTCAGCTAACGATAGTTCGACTCTGTAGTTTTTTAAGGTCAACAATCGATATACTACGTCTCCTTCTGTTTATACAATCGCATATTATTGTGAATATTAATTTTTATGTACATTTTTAAAGCATTTCAGCAAATGTTTTCTTTTTTTTTTCAACTTGTTAAATTTAATTGTAAATATTTTATTGTTTGACATATTTATTATACATTTATGTAAATAAGTTAAAATCGTTCACAAAGGATATGCAATTGGATTTAAAACACTGAAATCTTGTTTGTAAAAAGAGCAATTTTTTCGCAATTGTTTTTTAAGTCATTTGCCAATTGGCGAGCATAAAAAGTACTTTAATGGCCTTTGATAAGTCAGGCGATAAAAAAACGTACATACAAAATAAATTGTGTGCCAATATCTATAGAAGTCGATATCAGCGCACACAAAGCGCACCATATCAGCAAATTGCTTTAGCCAACATTTTAAATGTGGCCAGAAAAAATTCGCATGCAGCGATAAATGAAGAAAATATTAATTAAGGACGTTCCAGTGGGGAGTAACCGACTGCGTGGTACTTTGTTGCTAATGGTCGTAGATACATACATTTGCCATATCTTTTTGATCTTGGGATTGGGTTTGGCAAATTTGGTTCCTAAGGACAGACAGACAGACATTGAGCAAAACTAATATACTCCGTTTACCTTTGCAAACAAAGCATACAAGAATTTCGCTTACGATAGCAGAAATCTAAGGAACGCAAAGCAGGTGTTGTTAGAGTAATACATGTATATCTTTATATATATACATATATAACTAGCTTTATATATAAACAAATGTATATATACTATAATCGCTTAATGTTGACTAATGCCACTTCCCAGTCGCAACGCTCGTCGCTTACTTATAAAGTTCCACATAAATCCACTAAAAGTTTTCCGCAAAAATAATGCCAATCTCTCTGGATATGTGTGTGTGTGTGTTAGAAGTTGAAAAAGCAAAAGAATAAGTTGAAGAAGTGGAAGTAAAACTAAGAAAATTATGCGTCAAGTGCGTGAATCACTAATTGAAACAGACTGACATTCTGTGCATACCCTGTAGGAAATATGAGCTGGGTATAGGTGAGCTATGCCAATTATAAACAAAATTTAGTTTTAATAGTATTTAATAGTATTTTTTCCTTAAAATTTGAATCCCAATAAGTTTTTCCGATATTGATAAATATTTTAGATTTATAATAAAAAATTATTGGTTTTTGTTTTTCATTTGTAGCAACTCTAAATTAAATCAGTTTTCAAGTAATATAGAATATTTGGTGTTTTAATATTAAAAATTATATATTTATTAATTTTAAAAATTTATGAAATTTATTTTTCAGAAGTTTTATCAAATTTTAGTTTAATTAGTTGTTATTTACATTTGAAATAAGTTTAATAATACTTTTTCAAAGTCATAAGTTTCCTTATAATTAAAATACTACAGGATATTCAATCCATTAATTGGGTATTTTGTTTAATTTGATTAATCACCGCATGCTGACTTTCAACAAAGAGAAAATACGCCTAATTATTAAAGTTCAATTTCGATATTAGTTCGATTACCATGAAGGAAAGAGCAGCAAGGGAAGGGGCAGAGGGGCACGCCAAGGATTACTATTCACATGTGTTTTAGTTGTGCTGTTAAAAACTCTATTCGATTTCGAGAAAACAAACCGAACGAGAAAAGCACAAAACGTCCAGGGCATGAATCAGCGCTGCGTTCATTTGCTCCGTGACTGGCGGAAGGAGCGACAAGTGTAGCGAGGAGGAGGAGGAGTGGAGGGGGAGGTGGTAAGGGCATTGGCAGACTGCAAGGCTGTAAATTTTTGTTTTATTTCGCTTCACGCGCTGTTTCAGCCGTTGTTGTTGCTGTTGTTGTTATTCTTGTTGCGCTGTATGTATTAATAATTCTGCATTTTTGCAATGAAACAAAGAAACGTCGTTTATTGATTTGTGTGCGTGATTCATTAGTGAATAATAAATGCAAAAAATGAGCAACAAAAAAAAACCGCAAAAGGAAAAGAAACAGCCAAATTTGGTGCATCAGGAAGCGCAGCCAACTTAACAAAGCTGAAGAGAGGCCATGCGTGCAAGTGTATGTGCGTGGCTGTGTGTGTGTGTGCGTGTTACACAATAGCACTGGCTAACACACAATACTCGCTTTCAATTCTAACGGTAATGTAATACATATCGAATGCAGCTCGTTTGCGGGTGGATGGCTCGGGTAGAGATTTACGATATTCAATATTATTTATTGCCATTGGCATTGATTTGAGGTGTTGGTGTTGCTGCCGTTGCTGTTGTGTACGTATTTTCAGTTTCAATTTCAGTTTTCATGGCTTTCGGTTTGAGACTTATTGAATTGAGTTATAACCGTAAATGGTTCGTCTTTATGTTCCGACAGATAAGGAAAGAGAATGTGCATACATATGTATGTATGTATGTATATAGATATGTATTTGAAATTGCACTCGTTTGCATTGAGCACGCTAATCGACTGTATGTATGTATATGTATTTGTAGTATAACAAATTTGTTGAACTAGTTCAATTTATGAACATTTTAAGCAAACTTTACTTTATGTGAACTTTTATTAGTTTTCAGCTATAAACCGTGTTTTCCTTCTTCTTCTCATTTTCTTTGCTTTGCAGCAACTGAACAAACGAACGTCTGTCTCTCTCACCCTGCCGTCTCCCCTCTCTATCTCTTTCACTGATTAAATTTTGAGTCATGTCGCTTCGATAGCTGCTTAATATAGTAGGTAATTGAACTGCAGCTGCGCCCAGTCTGCGTGTATTTCTGTTCGTGTGTGTGTGTGTGTGAGTCACAGTGAATCAATCGAATCACCCAAAATGACTCACACACACACAGCCAGCGGCCCATATATCACAGATGTCAGAATTACTGTTACACAGTAGCTAAACAAATTTGATATGGAACTCAATGTAACCGCAACAATTACTCGATACATGCACGATAGGATAGAGATTGAAATTCTTACAACATATGCGTGTGTGTGCACACACATACATACATATATACATATATGGATATGTATATATGTATGTACATATATTAGCTGCTATGCGCACAAGTGCGGCGGCAGCGATGGCGACTGCGAAGCCGTTGCGCACTTGAACTTGATATGCATATTCCTTGTTGTTGTTGCTGCTGTCTAATATGGCCATGCCCACACACACACACACTTACGCCTGCTTATCTACCCCTTTGGCTGCAGCGCTGCATCCTGCATCCGCCCCCGCACTTAAAAATCATAAGCAAGATATTCGCTCGTTTTTTGTTGTTGTTTCTTTTTCGTGCTCTTTTGCTGTTCTGTGTTTTCTTCTTCTTCTTCTTGTACTTTTTATTTCGCTGTCTGGCACCGGCGTCGGCATTGGCACCGGCACCGGCATTGGCACTGGCTTTGCCTTTGCTGCTGCGGCTGCTGCTGCTGCTGCTGTGACTGCGACTGCGACTGCGACTGCGACTGGGGGTACTGGCCCTGGCCCTGGCCGGTTCTTGTGTGTGGAGTCACAGTTATTTAAAGTTCAACACTCAGGCACACATACACACGCAAATACATGCACACTAACACATACGCACACTTGACTTTGGGCTGGGGCTCCAACTATAGCGAGGCTACGCTGCCGGACTCTTCCCTCTTCCTTTTTGGCCTGCTCTGCCGCTCGCAGCTTTTGCACTCGCCTCTCACACTCACTCTCTCAGTCTTTCTCTGTCTCTCTCACGCGCGCTATCTGTTTCTGCAGATTTTCTTTTGCGCTGCTGTTGCCGTTGCTGTGTTTCTGCTGTTTAACTGCCCCGTTGTCGCATCTCTTATGAGTCTAATTCTTTTTGTTTCGTCTTGTGCCGCACTTAATATTTTCTTAATACATACATATACCATATACAAATGTGTGCGTGTGTGTGTAAGATTGCGTTAAAAGTATCTCTCACCCTTTTCGGCTTGCTCTCCACAATTTGTTCAACTTCAATGCCGTCTGACATGTTGCTGGCTGGCTGAATGGGATGCTGCGGCTACTGTTGGGTTGCTTCTCCTGCTTCTCCTCTTCTTCTTCTCTAGTTCTTCGGTTCTGCTCGGTTTTGGTGCTGCGGCTGTGGCTGCAACTCTCGGGTGACAGTTCAGGGAATTTTCTTTTACCGGCTTGGGTTTTTGGTGCAAATTTTGTGAATACAACACGCAAATACTTAACGACAAGTGTCACGACAAACAACAACAAAATTAATAAAAAAAAATTCTATATATATTTATACATGCATATATATATGTATATGATGTATTACATTAATAACGAAAACAAAGACAAAGGCAAAAGGCACACAGGCTCTAATCGGGAGTGACCAAAATAGCCGACCGACTCCGTCCGACTCGCACGAATTGTTGCTCACGAATGCGGGCCGGCAGCGCGTGCAACTCCAACGAAGTGGCTGACGCAGAAGCAGCGCCAGCCAGCACAAAGCATAACGACGAAAACGAAGCGGGCAGCGCAGTCGGCGAGCGAGCAAGTGGGAGCACCCCAGTTAGCTGGCGAGCTGATGAGCGACAGAGACAGAGACTGAGAGAACGGGGCAACGGCGACGGCGCCGTCACCGCATTTGGTTTTATTTTCAGTTTCAGTTTCAGAGTTGAAAGTGCGCGGGCAGCGACGTCGACTGCGCCGTTGACAAAATGTTTGACACCGCTGAGCGCAAGCGCGCATATGTGTGTGTGTGTATATACATATGTGTGTATATTGGAGCATGGTTTAGGATGTGAAGCACTGTACATCAGATTTATTATTATATATATGTACATTTATGTATGTATGAATATACTCAATGTTCTTAAAATAAATGCACTGTGACAAATCTTCAAGCAATGCAGCAAAATTGATTAAGCGCCAAAATTAAAATAAATAATTATTGAGATTTTGTGGGTATGTGAATACATACATATGTATATGGGTATGTGAATATAGTTGGTGATAAATGTATATGTATGTACGTACATATATAGTGTATGATAATTGGTAGACTAATAGCTTATAGATAACTAACTAATTATCTAAATACATATATGATTATGATATACTATTACATACATACATATATATAAATATTTGTTTGATTATTATTATTTTTTGTCAACTTGAACTTATCTTTCAACTACGTATAGTCGGAATTTTATTGAACTTATCTGAAGTTCCATATAAACATTTTCTATCAGTATAATGTACATGGTATAGTAATATCTAGGATAGTATATTTTATAGAAATTATTATCGCATTGAATTTGAAATGGTGTTAAACAAATAGACGCTTTATCTTTTCATGAAGTCATGCCCTAGCGATAACTTGAAATATTTTTTCTTCAAGAATAGATTTATTTTACTTATTATTTGTATTCTCGCTAGACTGGGGCTGGTGTTGGGGTATGTGGGGTGGTAAGGGGGGTTCGTGTGGTGCAGCCTGTTCCCAATCAACCGGTCGAGCACTTGCAAGTCGAGGTGTAGGCTTAACGGCATCTTCGGCCAGCAATCTGTGCCGCATCAGCCTTGCCTCAGCCTTGAGGAGCGCTGCCTAGACCACAGCCGGCTCTCTGCCGCCGCCGCTGCCGCTGCCACAGTCACAGCTGCAGTCGCCGTTTGCTGAGGCTGGGGCACGTTGCAATCAAGTGCGCACGTACTAGTCCACAATGTCTCTCTGTGTGTGTGTGCCTGTTGGGGACTGAACGGGAGACGGCATTGGAGCTTATCCGGTGCAGGGCTTATCGTCGCCAGCGTCATCCACGTCGCTTTATCAGGCCGCAAACAGCCCAATGTGAATCAAGCAATCAGTTGGCTGAATTACCCGCTGCTCGGCAAAAAGTGGCTAAGATATATTATAGAGCGTGAATGTGGCTACAAATAATATCGAGTGAAATACATATACTACAAACAGGGCGTACATCTCTACAGACATACATATCCACAAATATGTACATAGTATATGCCAGACATTAGTCTGACCTGAGTGTGACTGAGTGAGAGATTGTTTGAGGTTCCTATTATTTCCATTACTATATACATAATTATTATTGGTCAGTATTGCTATTTTCGTAAGCATTATTAATCGTATTAGTAATATTATCATTATTATTATTAGAAGCTATCGATCGTTGAGTTCAAAGTAGAATTTATAATAGAGCAAGAGCAAAGATGCTTGTAGAAGGTTCTGGGAGCCCAAAGACCCCGTATATTTCATAAATATATATCGAATCCTGATGCTTCTTACCTAGAATTGTAAATATACATAGATAAAGTTCTCTTACCTAAAGCCCGTTTAAAATTCGATTTCAGGGTATATTGGTTATATGAAAAGTATATAGAGTATATAACAGGCAGAAGAAGGCGTGGCAGATGCCATAAAATGAGACCCAAGAGATGTGTGTGTTAATTTGTATGCCCTGAACCGATGGAAAATGCGATTACAGGGTATATTGGTTAAATGAAGATGCAGAAGGAGGCGTGATAGACCTTATTAAGTATATATATGATGATAATATGATCAGGATGATAAGATAAGCCAATACAGAAAAGATCGTCTGTCCTTCCGTCCGTCTATTTATCCGTCTGTCCGTTCGTCCTTCTGTTTATCCGGCTGTACGATAATTCCGATTGTCTGAGCCCCTCTTGAGTTTCGGATACTCTATTTCCTTTTCTATATATTTCTACCTACAGCTCCAAGAGCAACTAGAGCTATTAGCAGAGTAGCTCTACGCCACCGTTCAGGGTATTCCCTAGTTGGGTACTCCCGAGTGCTCTATTAATATACATATTACACTAGCTCTAGCACTCCTCAATTATTCAGTTAGATAAGATTGATTGCCTTATCACACATTTCCACAATTAATTGGCTCTTCTTCGTGTATTTAATGGGCACAGATACATATATTGTATTAGATATGATTGGGCCTGTTGACATTGCCAATTTAGTGCGAAAGCTGTTTCGGCTCGGTTCATCATAATACAGAGCAATGCAGATAAGCCACAGAGTACATTCGCACTCGAGCCGTCTAGGCAAACAGTTGTCAAAACATGTGCACATGCAATAAAAGCGAATAAACAGATCCGAAGCAGAACAATCAAACCAGTTGGCCTAGAGAGTGCGTTTAGAGATTCCGAAATGCCGTACGGTGTTTGTACACAAAAACAAATATGTTTATGGCCGATCCAAGGAAATCAAATTTGAGGAATCTAACTCTGCCCAGTGCATGTTGATATGTGCATGCACATATGTGCCATAATAATACCAAATGCCGACCAATTGCAGTTACGCTCTACGCTCTTCCAGTTAATGCCGTTCTCGGCGATTCTCATCAACTGATGATGCGGGCGTTGGTTGCCTTGGTTTTTATAGCTTTTATGCTATATATGCAGATGTTTTTTTTTTTATGGAGAGATTATTGAGAGTGTGTATGTGAGAGCACATGTGCATATGTAAACATGCCTGCATATGTATGCAGGCATGCGAATCTGATTGCTTATATACATATGAATAGTGCATATACCTACATATTTGTGCATGTATCTATGTACGTTTGTCTACATGCATGCAAGCATTTATGTATGTAGATGTGCATGTATGCA